TTGTCCAGGGTATAGGAGCTGTAGCCAGAGTGGCGGATGACTTTAGCCGAGTTAATAAACTGCTGTGTGGATTCTGTCAGGGCCAGGTTATGTTTCCCGAGCTGCACTTGGATGCGACTGCAAAAGAGAAGGCAAGACATGTACTTTACTGCAACCCTTGGACAGCTTCAGAGAAACCTCCCTGTCACTTTATGCACTTGCTGCAACACCGCTGCCCCAGCAGCTCTTTTGGGTGGGTCACCTTTCTTGTCCTGCATAAGCCCTGGGGATCCACACTGAGATCTTTACCCACTCCCAGGAGAGGTGGTGGATTTCTGCAGGGTTATATATACATGGCAGTTGAATATATTGCAGCAATTTAAGCAAACATTCTGCAAAAAGGCAAACCTCCCTCACCCTGACCTCATTCCTCTTCCTGCTCTGCAGTGCCCAAGCTTTAGATTCATGCAATTGACAAGAAATCATAGCCCATCATTTCGTTTCTCGATTATTCCACTGTAATTTCAGAAAGTGCTCTGCATTCAAAGAAACATTTGCAGAAGGAAGAAACCTCTTCAGGTGCCTCAGCCACCCTTCCTGAACAAGCCACCCATCCCTTGGCTGTCTCAGGTCAGAACAGGGGCACTTCTCTCTTTGTATCTCATAACTCTGAATTCCTGCTAGAAGTGAGCTGGAAGACAGAAGTCGGTTGTAGAAGAATGTCAATTTTTCCACTCACGATTTGTAGCAGTGAGCAGCTGACAGGACCCACTGGCTGCTGATGAGGGAACCTCCACAGAAGTGATATCCGGAATTCAGGGACACCTGATAGGGAACAGAGTGCTCTGCACAGGTGTAGCCTCCCACGATCTTGTCATCATCGTCCTCAGCGATGGTGGGGAAGGCAACTGGGAGATAAGAAGTGATATGGGTCAACACCTGGCCTAAGGTGTAGGTTGCACTTGTAGGTTGCACTCCCATAAAACTCAGGGTAGCAGTGGTGAGCAAGTCCAATGGACATTCAGTTGATGCACCCTCCAATACAGTAATCAGACTTAGCCTGGGGTCTCACAAGTCCACAACTAAAGCATGTCCAGCTACCCCCTGAGTGAAGAGAACAACATAGACATTTGCTTGATGGATCAGATGAAAGGTGTGTCTTCCCCAGGATCCTGTCTGCAGAAATGGTCAATAGTGCACTGAACACAAAAGTACAAAACAAGTCTGCAGTGCCATT